AGGATCCCCTGCCATGTCCGACTCCATTTATTTCTCTCTCTTTGTCTTGCAAGACAAAACATTACTAGAGGTTTTTTTGCTTTTTGAAGCAACCGTTAACAGCTCCATTCACATTTTATCCAATGTTGCATTAGCTCCTGCATTCATTTTACTTTCTTCACTTCGTAAGGCGTTTAGCATCGGTTCTTAGTACACACCTTTTTAGCTGCGAGGTGAACGTCATTTTACAAAAGGAGGGTAGGGAGAGCTAGAAAATCTCAGCAATCTAAAAAAACTGTCAAAGAGTCAGCAACCGAGAGCCCTAACATCCTGATCCCTGGGATTCAAGTCAGCATTTTCTACATAATCTCATGTCTTTGTAAAGAGAGCACAGAGCAGAGTGCAATACAACAGCTGTAAAATGCCATCTTGAAGTGCCAGTTAACCATAATCTCTGGGTTACAGATGTAATAAGATATTATAGTGTATGCCAAAAAAGGATTACTCCTTTGCAATCTTTAAATCAAATCAACGATACCCCCCAACAAGAGCATACTTGCTTATGGATTATTACTGTTTATACTATTGTTTTTCATCTGAGGACAAAAATAGTATTTAACATTCAAAAATGCAAACCAATTTAATACTACTTATATTAGTTCCAGCATAAATAATATAATAAATAGGCATACAGCTCACCTTTTAAACTCTTCTGTATACGGTTATTCCCCTTTAGGAGCTTGGACCATTTTATTGCTCTTCTAGTGAGTACCACTAGATATCTGGAAAAGAATGCTTCGTAGGATGCATAATCAAAGTCTTCTGGCCTTTCAAACCCATATGGATCAACCCTACAAAATAAAAAATAATTCTTGCACAAATGTTTCTACATACGTACAGCTGAAAAAAAAATATGCAAGTATGCTTTAAATAGTTTCCAGTTGCTATTTCTAAAAGCAGCTCAAAACTCCCTCCTCCCAACAAAAACCTACTTTACACAAACTGTTACACTCCATTTAGCATATCAAAGCTGTTTAAGTAAATGAATTTAAACATGCACTGTCCAGTAATTTTTACATATTTCACTACTTCTAGAAGTAAGGAGTTTTTAGAGCATAGGATCCGTTGTGTGCAAAACCGACTGAAATTATGATCACATGGAAGTCTGGGAAGTATTTTTCTCTGTAATACAAACAGTTGAAAAGTATGGCCTGAACTCACTTTCCACACAGTTCTGCACATAAAAATGACAACAAAAAGAACAAGTTAACAAAGATTATTTTTAGCAAGGCTTATTTCGGAAATTATCTTCATGAAAGCACACAGTTTGGAAAAAAACCCAAACAAACCACAACTCCTTGTATCAACCTTCTTCATACGTAGTATCAAAAATGCTTATTTTATTGTCTTTAACAGTTTTTCAACGTTACATCACATAATCTCGGCCAGCACGGCACTGACGGAGTTTCAAAACTGCAAGTCTGATTCTGTTCTAGCTTGATGTATCAAGTCCCTTTGCTAAACTAGATCTACGTCAACTTCCCAGGGCGCTTTATACCTGCCGATTATCACTGGGGCACAGAGCATTCACAGGCTTGGTAGAAGTTAAACAGGCAGAGGTCTGCCCACTCAGAAAAGTTTGCTAAGACAGTCATCGAGGTTTAACTTCCAAAAACACTGCTCATTTCATTCACAGAGAAGGAATTTGCCCATGGAGCGGCACCGGCACAGCCTTGGGTAAACTCTGGCTCATGGGATCGTCACGGGTAGTAAAGTATGAATCAGAAGAGGAACATTTTAATATTCAGACCTCAAATTTATAGTACCTAATCGGCAGTTATAACATTCGCCTTTGTATTTATGCACTCTGCAAATGTGGCACAAAAAGCACAGGTGTAAACACCGAACCCCCCGATACAGGTTTCTCTGAAGACACAGGGGGTGAGAACGCTCACAAAAATCCTAACACCTCCACGAAAACGCATCTCCTATTTATGACTGCGACTGTCCGGGCAGCAAGTCCAGATCAATTTCATGCTCAACTTCATTCCTGAGGTGGAAAGGGAAAATAGCCAGAGTCCGGCGCCTTCCCTAACCGGCCTCCGGGCAGCGAGGGTGATCATTACACCTGGGTGCCCTCACGCCAACAGCCGCGCCGCTCGCC